AACTTTTGAGAGTGACCTAGGGTAATACCATGCACATGCCCGTGCATAAGGATCAAAACGTTTGGCAATGAGATAAGTAGATTTGGGAAAAGTCATGATGTTGCACGAGTTTGGTTAATACCTGTATATATATATATGCACTCTATAACGGTGCTTCTGTATTTAGTTTATTATATGTGGGTCTCGAACACCACACGGTATTTCCTATTATTCTATTTGTTACTGAACGCCTTAGTGATGAACTGTAGGAAAAATGACCCCCATTATTACAAGGATTCGGAACAGAGAACGAACACCGGACAAAATAAGATAAGCCCAATATGGGGTCGGGCAGCACCAACTATCACGTCACTTTGCTGTTGGTGTTGATGCTAGTGGTGGTGACAGGTTCCAAATATCGGAATTAGGGTCTAGCCAAAGGTGATTTTGGTTCCACGATATACAATGAAAGCAATAAGCGTGGAGAAAGTAGTAGAAAAGCTTATTCTGACTTACTTCAGTTAAACCTGCCGAAATTACACCCTCCCACGCATTTGATCCCTTATTGTGGCTCCCATGTGATGTCTCCCCGACGGAGCCAGGGCGAACAAATTGAAGCGCGTTACGCAAAACCAACAAACGACAGAGCAACATAGATAGGACTGGTCGGTGCATAAACTGTAAGAGTGAGCTACCATGAGGTCCCACCCTAGCCAGTTGTAACTGATGCCGGTTCATAGGTGCCGACGTCAAATAAAAGAATAAACCGCCTGGCACGATGGACTGTGCCTCGGATAATGGGAATGCCTCGTGTAAACGCGAACGCAAACTGGCCGTAACCTGTGAGTACTGAGTACCCAAGTTAGGGGTATTTATGAAAACCGATTCAACATTGCTGCGACCACCGAACTCCTCGACCAGGCGAACGTGTTGTGTTTGTATCCCGTTTGGATTGGGAACGGATAAATCCAAGCCATGCACATACCTGAAGCAAGTACACAGATAAGAGGAAAAAAGCTGTTTTCATTATCACCCGTCTGTTGCTGAGGGAACTGGTAAAGTTCAAGGTCAACAATATCAACTGACGGACAAACAAGGAAACCGACCAAAACAGACAAACGTCACAATTAACCACCGATTACTCGTCAGGATCGAAAATCGCTGATCTCCATACATGGGATGCCGAACGACATCAACTCCATTAGAATTATATAGGTATCGAAGGTGGACAAGAGAAAACACCATGTTCCGTATTCCTTAAGGAATGAACCAACTAATACTGTTGATATGGAGCTAGTTACAAACTATTGAGGAATCAACCAAATCGATGCTCAAGGGATCATCTGATGTGTAAAACAGGGAACAAACGTGAATGGCGATGAATGGGACAACGTTCTATAGCAGGCGATTGATACAGGTACACACACTGGTATTGAATTGATGAAACTAAAATCTCCCCTTCGCTTAGCCGTATTCAATGTCCACGCATTCTAACAGATACAGTAACGAGCTGTTCCAGATAGAATTATCGGAACTTTCAACGTAGACATGCTGTGTCTCCGGAACACGCACACAAAACTTCACTTCAATTATCCTGCCGCGTTCTTCAAACCCGATCTCATCTGAAAGCTTTACTCTCACCGTGTCAGGCGATTTGGCGTCTAGTGCAGTTTCTAAAGTCAGAATTGATCTGTGTTAAGGCTGAGAGCTCGCTAGTCGACTAAATTCCACGCGGTAGCGGACGGTGCGCTGTATCTCCCTATGATACAGAGCGGGTCACCAATGTAAGAACGAATCCTCACGGTTTATTCGTCGTATTCGTGTATGTAATAACTGATTTTAGCGCGGCTGAAACGAAGGATGATTTCTACAATCACCTTTATTGACTGAACGAAATAACGTGAATCCAAAATTTACCGAAAAAAAATCTATCTGCCTTTCATTTTTTCCAGGTTAGTGCACAAATCACCTGACGAATTCTATTTAACTTTCAATAAACTGTGAGTAATGCAGCAGTTAATACATGGTGATGTCACGACTCTTGACGCACTACAACAGAAGCTTTCGCTTTCCTATTTTTTAGCATTTTTAATCATAGAAATTATTCTTGTGAAGATAGCAGTCTGATTATCTTCCTATAGGTTGCGCTGATCGACTTTGATCAACTTACTATGGGAAGTGATCGCTTGGTATAATCCGGGAAAATAAGTAAGCAACCGGAGATCGATTTAGAAACCAAAGGGCGACAGGTCAAGGTAAATGATTCTCTGAAGATGCACAATATAAAGAATAATTGACTGGAAAGCTCACCAAACTATCAAACTACCGTCCTCTGGATGAATCGCCAAAACCACATCCGGTGCGTGTTGCCATTCTCCCAAAAGAACGGCAAATTTCTGGTCGATCACGGCGAGATGATCGGTTAGAGTGGTCGAGGCGGATGTGTCACTGTCCGTACTAGATTCACCTGGAATGGGTAAAATCACTCGTTGAAAACATAACGATTCGGAAGACGATGCGGCGCATTTTGCAATGAAAAGCGCGTTTACATATCACGGTAATCAAACACAATAAATTCATACATGACAATTTTCACTTGCGACATTTCTTTTGCAACGGCTGATAAAGGACACTGCACAATCGTTTCGTCAGTGGTGTGCACTTTTTGCATCCCGGCCGAGGACTTTGCTGAGAACCTTCGCGTTCGGACTCGAAAACGTTAGCCCTGGGTTACACAGTCAACAATATGAGCCTTGAGCGCATGGCTCCATTAAATGATCAATCATGACTTTGTTTTAGCCCACGTGAATTCACACATAAAATGGTTAGCTGTTCCGAAAGGAACATCTGAACGAACAGTTTACCCAGTAGTATTAAGTAATGCATCTGTTCACTATAGTTGCAAATCTGGTGCTGATAAAGGGTTACACGCCTTTTCCGAAGTTTCTAAACCTAACGCACGCAAAACCGTTGAACAGAACGTCTTGTGTGCGGCTTTGTGTACCTCAACGATACGGATCAGTCTTATTTTCCCAAGCTAATGCTAACCAGCGAAGTCACTAAGGTGAACCTCGAGCATAGATTCATTAACTATTGCAAGTCAAAGATGAACAGATGACCAAAGACTATCATTGATTTGCTAAGGGTTCTCGTGTCATCAAAACGCACACAGCGTGGACTCTGACTGGTCGCTCCGTCGGACGACAACATTTTACGCAGTACCAATATAAAAACGAGCACAGATTGGATGCGTCCGTTCCGAGAACTGGATGCAAGTTTGCCGAAATTAGGACATTAGGGGCATTTCAAACGTCTGATCTGATAACCAGATGCGTAAAATGGGGGCTGACACAGGTGTTTAACCTTCGCAACTTGCGATGTTTTTCTTGTCTCCAGAGATGCCTTCTCGGTGGATACCAACAGTGGTAGGTTTAGTGATTGGAGAGACTGGGATGCAAAAAAATCGACCGGTAAATTGAATAAAGTGGCCTGACATTTCTACAACAAAACCCGTAGAACCCACCCAATCAGTCGCTGACACGATTAGACAGTAGAATTGAGTACGATACCCGTTCTCGATCCTCTGTACCAACATAGTTTACTTCACGCAGAATCCTCAATTGATCTAGTCAATCATACATTCTGGAAGCACCAGACTCGAGTTTCGCTCTTACTGAGTATTTATCGATCGTCTCGATCGGGCTGTGAAATTCAGGCTCATCGCACGGAAGGCATGTACGTTATCACTGTGCCAATGACGTTACACTGGGGCTAACCAGAATTGCCAATCCATGTTCGTCCATAGGTCGTCTTCAGAGGTTGTGAGCGAAAATCAAATTTAGTCACAAATATGGAATTCGAAGCATTTCAATCGCCGAATTTCCAGCCGTAACATCTGGTTGGATCTACCATCGTTTGCGTTCTTACCTCCTCCTTCATATAGTGTATATTCACATCATGCAATATGTTCCGTTTACTGTAAATCACCTTATACGTGTGGTAAGAAGGCATTCTGTGCACTTGAGCGTAATAACCCCGAAACGCAGATTTCACTTTTCTGTAAAACGGTAAGGTTAGATAATAAATCGGGAAACTGGATACCTCAAGCAAAACAAAAAGATACGAAGCAGAAGACTTGGGGTAAATTATGGGCGACATAGTTAGTCATAGTGTTCCAGATCTACAAACACATTAGGAACAAACAATCAGATGTACATTAAACCTGATAGCCTGAATGGACTCGTTAGCATCAGATAATGCTAAAGAGTAGGCATGAAGAAAGAATAATAACTCTGGATTCAGATAAAACCCCAGATCAACACACCTCATACATTCTTTATTGTAACGCTTAATTTATTCTACTAATGTCATTTTTAATTTAAGGAAACCGCGCCTAAGCTACGACTGTACTGTATGAACCACATTGGAACCTCACCTTAGAGGTGAGCTGTCACTTGGTCAAAGGCATAGGCTCATAACACTAACCGCATTTAGGTTTTATCTGACAAGTTCAATGTTAAACATAAACTTGAAAAAGAAGCGTGAAAGATCAAGATGAGAAGCACAATAGAAAAAGCAGATATCTTAAAAGGAAAGATGTTTGATAATTTATGCAGTGGTATTCGTTCGGAGAATTTGATTGGATAGAAATGGAAATAGTGAAAAACGTGATCGGACAATACTGGAGGAAAAACGCGAAGGTGAAAAAGCATTGTTCCTCAATAGCTGTTTTGTGATGAAAGGAGCTGAGATACCTCAATCCAATGTCAAACAAATGAGCAAGCTAAATTTTTGGATTTACCGGCTGAAAACGGCATGTCCATAATTCGTGCGATTGTGTCCATCAATAAAGAACGCATGGCTTGGTCGAAGCGGTACACCTTGTTATTCAACCAACGAATGAAGAACTGATTTGCTGGAAGCCTGTCATCCCAGATATGCAACAAGAGCAAGGGAAAAAAGTAAAAACCATCAGTACTGGAACGTGATGTAGCTCTCGCTATGCAATAAATTAATTATCTGCATTATTAATGTATTCACCCAAGCCACCCTCACTTGTTCAATCAATTTTCTTGGTAGAAACGACAACTTGTTTAATCACTAGTTCCACCTGTATGTTCCTTTATACATTCGGTTCTACTTCCAAGGCTCAAAAGCGGGGCAGTTATGAGTCCCGACTAAGCATTCCTGCATCTTTGGGCGACTCACTGATCGTTCCCATTTTCAAGAATGGATCTCGCAAAGACTGCAAAAACCACCGCGGGACATGTTTGATCGCAATCGTCGCCAAAACGTTAACTACCGTCATACTCCGACGACTGACTTTCTCAAGAGACCAACATCCGTAAACAGCAAAAGGGACTCGGGCCTGAGTGCGGATGTATTGATCAAATTCTTACGTTGCGTCAGGTCCTTGAGCTGCGTTACACCCACCGTCAACTATCGATTATAGCGTTCCTTGACCTGAAAGGAGGCTTCGACCAAGTCGACCCCGAAGCTCTGATGGGTTTTCTTCTTCGCAAAGGAATGCCGCAGAAGTATCTCAACATACTGAGGTCACTCCAGTCGTATAATTCTGGCAGCGCAAGGGTTTATGGCAAGCTGAGTAGGTCGTTCGAAACTAGCAGCAGCGTTCGTCAAGAAAGCCCTATTTCGTCATTCCTGTTCAATTTCATCGTAAAGGAAATACTGGAGAACGTACTAAGTGGTTTCCAAAATGTAGGTATTGAATGGTCATCTGGAGAAAAGCTGTGACTTAGAGTACGATGACGTCGCTTACCTGTTCGAATATGTGGAGAATGCACAAAGCGCAATTCACAGACTTTTAAGTTCTGTTGCTCCGTTCGGCACGCGCTTGCACCTTCAAAGTGAAAAGTGGTGCTGCAAGACTGGATCTAAGCCATCGTGTGATTTGGAGTTCATCAGGGATAAACTTGCTAGATTATCGAATTCAGTTTAGTAGGCTTCGATGGCTAGGGCATGTATTGCGTATGCCCGCCCGTCGTCTGCTGTATGCAGCTTTATTGGCTGTAGCAGCTCCGGGCTGGAGGAGGTCAACAGATGTCCTGGAGACGAGGTATGAAGAAATGTACAGTGCTATTAAGTTTAGTTTTTACAACCATTATTCATGCACTTTCGTGCGCCAGTTTTGGTTGCTGTCTTTCGGTTGCCCATTTGGATAAAAGAGCGAAATGAAGATTGTAATGTTGAAAGCAAATTTGAACGGAAGATGGGGAATCCATATAGAATAGTGATAGGGGAACAATGAGTAGATGCACGAACGCCACTGTTTGCGACACCCAGCCATATCACTCAGTCTCTCTAACCATCGGGTACGATTATCCCGAGGTCCCCAGCCAGGGAGTCTAACGAGGTCTGTGTGGGCCAGTCTCCTGGTTGGGGTTTTAATACCCTCATGCAACGTCTTCGTTTGACCACCCTTCATCTTTGTCCAACCACTACCAGCCTTGGTAAACATCGCTCACCGCGGCAACCTATCTGGTGACATGCGTAACACACGCCCCAACCAGCGTAATTTATGAAGGTCGATCACTTGCTCCAGTGGACGACCGCGAATGCCTAAAACTCTACGCCTAACCTCAGCATTACCAGTCCGGTTACCCCACCAGACTCGTGAAATGCGACGTACACAGCAGTGTCCATAAACGGATAATCTATTTTTATCCTGTTCCTTCAGTGGCCAAGTCTCTGCACCGTAGAGCAGGACTGGCCGAACTGCTGCAGCATACATTCGACCCTTCATAGACAACCGGATGTCGCGACGGCGCCACAAATGTCTCAAGTTGGCAAATACCAACCAAGCCGTTTGTACGCGCGCCGACACCTCATCTGTGATGCGTTCGCCGGGTGAGATATAGCTACCCGAATAGCCAAATTTGTCTACTTCGTCTACTACTTCCTCAATTAGGGTGAGACTGGGTGCTGGATCAACCCAATCTTGTAGCAGCATTTTACACTTTGAAGGTGCAAAACGCATACCGAACATGGACACACTAGCACTCAAACTATCCAGAAAAGCTTGCAACTTACCTGGATCGTCACTTAGTAGCACAATGTTGTCTGCATACTCTAGATCAGACCGTCTGTCACCTGGAAGTAAATCGATACCGTTATCCTCGCACGAGGAAAGGGCTGTTTCAAGAATTAGATCTATCACGAAGTTAAATAGAAAAGGACAGAGAGGGCAACCCTGTCGAACACCACATTCTGTAGTGAACTCGGGTGAAAAAGTGCCGTAAGTTCGGACTCGGCTTGGTATAAAGCGATTGTGATATTGCGAATAACTTCTCGGGCACACCTTTCAGGGAAAGACAGCGCCAGAGTTTAGAGCGGTCGAAAGCCTATTTCAGATCGAGGAAGACAGAAATGTTGGGTATACGAAAAGTGTGTCTGTGTTCTAGGATTTGACGAAGAGTGAAGATTTGGTCGATAAAACCTCGACCAGGT